GAGAGACTCATTTTGTTCTTGAGCTACGAATAGGTACAACCATTTTAAAGAGCTTGAAATCTCCTATGGAATGGGCTAACTTGCATATTGATACAATGAAGTTTGAGTGTTTTATGAACGATAAAGTGTTTCAAAAGCAGGTGACTTTGTGTACTTCTAACTAGTTGCAAAATGGCTTTTTGGAGATAAAAACCTTGCTGCAGGTAGCTCTAAAAAATATCAAAAGCAAGCGCTCTCCTGGAGCAGTACAAATTTCCTTCAAAATCCTGTCAGAGCAACTTCATTAATGGAGGAGATGGCAAATCAATCACAACACCGATGGTTGTCACGTGGTAACCCAACCCACATTTCCTGTTGCTACGCCCCGTTGCCAATCCCTTTCATTTACTCTAATATCTATGAGGTTACTTTACACAGCAAAAAAACCTGTTTAGCAAATTTATTTGTCTGCAAGCATAAAACAGGCACAAAACGATACTGATGGTGTAGCTTTTGTTGCTGCCTGAATCATAAATCTACCCATGCAATACAAAAGAAGAAATTAAATTTGTCTATGGAAAGTAATACACATAGTTCAAACAAAACAGTGGATTTTATATTGGCCATATCTTCATGGAACCATCAATTATCATCTCACCAATAAAGTAATGTTTATTTTGTAAGATTATACATAAATAATACCTAGTTCAACTACCATTGTGATATTAGGATCAGTGACAGATGTATCAAACCATTCCATTACTCCTCCTCCTACAGGTATCTTTTCAGCCTTGACAACACCTCCCACTATTATCAGGAACACATGATTAGGATCAACAACAAAAGATGATACAGTATGACGTAATCTACCAGCAACAGAATTAGGTAGAGGAATCTGTAGAAAATAGAGAATGTAAAGATATAACAACATTTAAACTATATCATGAATAATTCCCTTTGATGTTTATGAGTTAATGAGGGATTAAAATCATATAACCTCCCTGCTGAGCCTGCTCCAGCTCAGTAAACAAAAAAATTTAAGTTGAAATTGTTTTGCAAGTAAACATTGAACTAGCAATAATTATTATTGTCAGCTGCCAGACGGTGATCTCTATCAGCAGGTGGCTCATGAGCTCTTCTGGATTGAGCCTAGCTCTTCCTTGACAGGCCCGAGCCTCTATGAGCTCTGTCGGTCAGTCTTCTTCTCTTTCTTCAGGAGTCTCAGCCTCCCTACGAGCTCTAGCTGCTGCAAGCCTAGCTTCTCTTGCTTCAGGAGTCTCAGCGTCTCTATAAGACCTGTATGTGACTC